CAAACATGTTTCTGCTGTTTACCTTTCTTCTTTTTAGCAGGTGTTGGTTTGGCCTCAGTAACAGGGGCTGGAATAATAAATGATCTGATTAACTCTAATGTACGTTTATACAAAGGTGAGAAACCATGAAGAAACTACTGTTATATGGACGACTGAAAGGATACAAACCTTTCTTGGGAGTCACTGGCTCAGCCTTCTTCTCCTTGACAGCTTCAGCTTTTAAAGTTTAAAAAAAACAACAACAAAAAAAAATCAGTGCAGTTTTCCACAGAGGTTTTCATTTAGCAACAGTGTGATTGTTAATATTACAGTTGGAACTGATGCAGTTTATTGTCACACTATGATGTTGAGCAAACTCTGCAAACAGAGTTGCAGATTGTAGTCAGTAGATGTTTAGATGGAAAATTATTTGAACTACATAAAACTACATAGGAAAAAAATATTTTCCAAAAATAGTGCAAATAATTTTCTACAGCAGAAGTAATTTATTACAAGAACTACGTTTTAACTAAACACTACAGACACACAGGTCCTCTGTATACCTTTCTTCTTTTCAGCAGGTGTTGGTGTTGCCTTAACAACAGGTGCTAGAATAATAAATGATCTGATTAACTCTCATGTACGTTTATACAAAAGTGAGAAACCAGAAAAAACAACTGTATTCTATATAATATGGGTAAAAATAAAAGCGAGACAAACCTTTCTTAGGAGTCACTGGCTCAGCCTTCTTCTCCTTGACAACTTCAGCTTCTAAAGTAAAAAAAAAATAAAAATAATAATCAGTGCAGTTTTCCACAGAGGTTTTCATTTAGCAACAGTGTGATTGTTAATATTACAGTTAGAAGTGATGCAGTTCATTGCCACACTATGATGCTGAGTAAGATCTGCAAACAGAGTCAGTAGATGTTTAGATGGAAAATTATTTGAACTACATATATTCAGGAAAGGGCTGCAAGGTGGTGCAGTTGGTAGCACTGTTGCCTCGCAGCAAGAAGGTTGCCGGTTCGCGTCCCGGTGGGGGCACCGGAATCTTTCTGCG